GCAAAATGTGAATGTTGAATATTTATTAGTTTCTTTATTTTTATTAGTTTGTTTTACTTATTTTGGTGCAAATTATATTTGTTGATTATATTATGCATTTACTTTAATTTATTAGGCTTGCCTTGAAGTTTGTTTTTGTTTTTGACCAGCTGAATTAATGTCTAGAATTTTTTGATGAGCTTCAAACAATTTCTGTGCATCTGTATAAGTCAGAATGAGGAAAATCATCAAAAACTTGATGAAAAACTTTAATTTGTGATATGATGATGATGTTTTTGTACAGGGAGGCTGTTGGCGTCTGTCACTGTGTTTATCTGGCACAATAATACACAGCTGTGTCTTCAGCTTGCATATTCTTTCCTTGCAGTGTTATTGTGTTACTGGAAGTGTCTCTGGTGATACTGAACTTGCTTTTCAGGGAATCCTTGTAGGCTAAGTTTCCAGCAGAGTCGATTAATCCAATCCACTCCAGAGCTTTTCCTGCAGGCTGACGAATCCAGGCTGTACTATAGTCAGTAACTGAATAGGAGACTTTACAGTTGATAGTGAGAGTGGCATCAGGACGGACAGTCAGAGACTCAGGCTGAGTGAGTTCATATGAATCAATACCTGTATCAAATCAAATAATACCAGTTAATATTAGCAACAAAATGATGTATCACACAGAAAGCAGACTAAACTTACAGGATATCACTGCCAGAAGCAGCACTAAAGATGAAGAGATCATGGTTTGTTTCACAGCACAGTTTGAATGAACTGAAGCGATCCTTCACTCCATCTAGTGATCAGATGAATGTATAAACTGACTCATGCCTGCTGTTTAAATATGCAACAGGAGATTTACATAAACACACAGAGCTGTTAACAAACTTTATGTGCATAACCCTGTCCTGAACATTACTTTAATAGGCTATATAAAGTTCAATGCCATAAATGTTTTAATAAGAGCAATGCATTATATTTTTGTCTCTTCTAGGTGTTCAACTGGTGTTCAAAAAACTCTCAATGTTAGTAATGTTGATAAAAGAGCCCTGATATAATAATAATAAAATAAAGAGAAAAAAAGCAGTTCTGTTCATTTACATCAGAGTATTGCATGATTAGATAATGGAATAATACAGTTCACTTTACATGATAGTTTTAACTTGGTAGTGTAAATTTACAGTTACATTGTCTTAAAACTGTTTACATTTTTTATCCATTGACTCTATCCATGTAAATAATGACTTAATTAAATTCTAACCAAAAAGCCTTGTTTAAATGTTATTTTTTTCTTTGCTCTACAAACGTCAAATTATTTATATCACATATTATTTATATAGGCCTATAAACAATTATTTTACTATTTTACTTTTTTTGACATAGTTTTGTAAATGTCTGTGTATTTATTTTTATTTTCTACACTTTTAGTTATTTTAGTACATCAAGGTAAACTAAATGAAAATGGGAAATGTTGACTTAACAGCTAGCTGAAATAAAGTTTACTTTTTTATATTTTATTTTATTTTGGTTAAAATGTATTTTGTTTCAAGTAATAATGTTTTTTTTTCTCTCTCTCTCTCTTTTATGGCTTTAGCTTTAGTTGACTGTAATAACCCTCATTCTGAAAGTATGGATCTGTTGGACCTACATCAGAAAGACTATAAATATAATTCAACTATGCACTCTAAAAAATGCTGGGTTATTTCAACCCAACTTTGAGTCAAATTTGGACTAACCCAACTTTTGGGTTAAAAATTGTATGTAAAAATTAACCCAACAGTTTTGTTCGTCCATATTTGACCCAAAGTTGGGTTGAAACAACCCAGCATTTTTTAGAGTGTGTTAGCAATATGTTTTAATATGTTGCATTAAAACCAGTTAAACTCTGCGGTTTAACTGGTTTAACTCTGCAAAATCGCTTTAAAATGTTTATGCTTCATTTACATAGCCTTCCTTATATGGTATCAGCCCATATATGGGTTCATTTGAAAGCTTGGAGTGTCTTCTTTACAAAGAATACCATTCCTTTTGGTTTTTATATTCATAAAGAAGTCAAATTAAGCTTAGAAATGTATTCGTCCCACACACGAATTTCCGCCTAACCATTGCGAATAATTTTTACGAAGAATGTGTATTTTATATATTTTTCACAAAAAACTCAAGTCATATATCACAAGAAAGCTCTCATTCTCAGGAATTTGACGATGTAGATTATTTCATTGTGTGACAATCACAGATCGTATTATCTTCGATAGAATGGCGATGTAAAATTTTGTCACCTCTGAGTGAATTTACATTTATACTCGTAGCACTGCTTCAGTCAGCCGCAAACAGCCACAAATATCTATATATTCTATATTATCTTTTAGAAAATGGCTGCAATATAACAAAGAGTGAAAAATTTAAGGGGGTCTGAATACTTTCCGTACCCACTGTAGCCTACTTTTCATCTGGCAGAGAGTGCCCTCTATTGTAATATCAGCAGTATTCTCATCAAAGATGAATAACTTTTGACTTTAACGTTCACTTTATAATATACATAGCAAACAGTTACAGGTAATCTAAAAATGTCCTTCATGTGGTAAAGTCTAATGAATTGGTTGTATTCAAGTCAAAAAATGTTAGGTTACACCAATAAAGTAAGGTCTGCAGGTCATTTCTCAGACGTTTGTTGGTCTGTAAAACACTGATGTAGGTAAAAGTCTTTTTTGTATTCCTACAGTATGTATGGGGACTTTTTATTGCTTGTTTCATTCAAGATGTTTTTGGCCAGAACTGCTTGTGTTTTGTATCACTGTGTGCTCTCTCTCTGGCGCAGTAATACACAGCTGTGTCCTCAGTCTGCATATTCTGTCCTTTCAGAGTCACTGTGTTGCTGGAAGACTCTCTGGTAACTTGAAATCTACTTTTCAGTTTATCACTGTAGTATGTGCCACCACCACTACCTATCTCTCTAACCCATTCCAGAGCTTTTCCTGCAGGTTGCTGTATCCAGTGAGTCCAGTAGCTGCTGTCAGTCACTGAATATCCAGAGATTTTACAGGACAGAGTCAAAACCTGACCAGGACTTAAGACAATAGAATCAGTCTGAGTCAGTTCAACACAGTGGACACCTGAGGGGGAAAATATGACCAGACATGGCCATGAAAAATATGGACATGTTCGAGATATAATTATGTATAACCATAGTATTTTTATTATGAATTATCTATAGAAGTTATGATGACTTACAAGAAACAGCTGCCAGCAGCAGCAACAACCAGAGAGATGAGTTCCTGCAGGCTGACGAATCCAGCCTGTACCATAGCTTGTAACTGAATAGGAGACTTTACAGTTGATAGTGAGAGTGGCATCAGGACGGACAGTCAGAGACTCAGGCTGAGTGAGTTCATATGAATCAATACCTGTATCAAATCAAATAATACCAGTTAATAAGAGAGCATGATGCTTAAAAACTGTTAACAAACTTTTTAGCAACAAAATTATGTATCTCACAGAAAGTAGACTAAACTTACAGGATATCACTGCCAGAAGCAGCACTAAAGATGAAGAGATCATGGTTTGTTTCACAGCACAGTTTGAATGAACTGAAG